TTTTCTCGAGGCAGTGTGGTGAAGTGAATTGCCAGTGCTCGCACAGCTAGTAAGTGTCAACTGTCTGAGGTCAAATTTGAACTCAGGTCTTCCTGAATCCAGAGCCAGTGCTCTATCCACTGAGCCATCTAGCTGCCCCTGGTATATTTTTTATTATCAATATTTTCTCCTGTGTTTTCATTTTTCCAGGATTGCTTTCTGAATTGGGACCCTGTGTTAGGGCCCCCCTCTGTGAAGTTGCAGAAGGAATGATCTTGGCCTGCTTTGGTACTGATCTTATTAACTAGGATCTGATTAATAAGCATTATGTTCTTCCAGATCCTCAGGAGCAGGGCCAGGCTGATCTAATCCAGGGAACCCCCTGATGGGTGTGGGTGGGGGTGAGAGTGGCACACCTGCAGGGCGCCCCCCCCCCCCCCCAGTGTCCTCAGTTAGATCCTGCTCTGGACTTCTCTCTCTCCACCCCTGTACATGGCAGCTGGTGCTGGGTCTCCCAGGCCTCTCCTGAGTCTCTAAACTGGAAAGTTGTCTGTGAGCTCTTGGGCTGGGCTTTTCTATGTGGATCCCCTTCCCCAAGTGCCCATAGGCCTCTGACTTAGCACAGTGCTAGGCACATAGTAAGAGCTTAATAAATGTTAGTCTGCTCTGGGTCTATTTATCTCTCTGCCTGCACTTATCCATCTATTCCTCTATCTATATCCAGATATCTTTCTGCATCCATCCATCTATATGTCTGTCTATCCATTTGTCTGTCTGTCCGTCCATCTATCTATCTGTCTGTCTGTCCATCTGTCTGTCCATCTGCCTGTCCATCCATCCATCCATCTCTCTCTCTCTCTCTCTCTCTCTCTATCTGTGGACCTGGACAGGCTAATGTATTTGTTTTTTCCTTGACTTTCTTGATCATTTCTTCATGTGGTGTTCCCCCCCCCCACTTTCCATCTCCCTCCTTCCCTCCTCCCCACTCTTGCCCCCTCCCCCTCTCTCCCTTGATTTTATTCTAATTGTTACTGAGCTGGGCTGGTCTACTTCCATTCATTCCTCCATCTTTTGGAGAGGCTTAGGGAGCTCCCAGGTGAGGAAAGTCTCTCTGCCAGTGTAGGGGGACCCCTGCTCTGCTATTTATAATTCTCGGTTGCTGCTTAGACCTGTTCACTTGCCTGGAGTCATACAGCCAGTATATGTCAGAGGCGGAACTTGAAACTGGAGGTCACCTTTCTATCCATTTTGCCTCACTCCCTCTCCACAACATGTTTATTTAAACATTAATGCAGAATACTTATACCAGGTGATTTCCAGAGGGGGTGGGAGGGTGAGGGGGTAGGAATCTGAATAGGCTTCCTATAGGAGGTGGCACTGGCGCTGAGCTTTGAAAAAAGCCAGGGATTATAGGAGGCCGAGGTGAGGGGGCTCACCCCACTTACGGTGGTGAAGGAGACAGCCCTGTGCCAAGGGACCCAAGATGGAATGTCATGGAGGAGGGACAGCAAGGAGGTCTGTTCATACTTCCCCAGGGCACAGCACTCACTACCTAGTTAGGGAATTGATGAATCTTTGTGATTTTCATTGGGTTAAGGATGGATGATAATGATGGTGATGGTGATGATGATGATGGTGGTGGTGATGGTGATCCTGTAGCTGTTTAAGGTTTACAAAGGGCTTTGCATGTGTTACCTCATTTGATTCTCACAACAGACCTGAAAGGTCAGTGCTGTTATTATCCCTGCCCCATTTTAGAGGTGGGTAAACTGAGGCAGACAGAGGTGAAATGACTCTCCCAGGTCACAGAGCTAGTAAGTAGTTCTCTAACTTGACCTTTCCAAGTCCACCACTGTATCCCCCTCCCCACCTTGCTGGCTACAGTATGCTTTCTAAAGGTGCTCCCGCAAGGGCAGGCCCTTCCCCCCTGGAAAAGGGGGGATGAGGCTCGGAATGGACACATAGAGGACACAGAGAGGGTTTAGGGGTGAGTTCCTGTGGTCTCTGCAGGGGAGAGGACTGACTGAGCGTTTGAATCATCAGCGTGTGGGTCCATTTTAGCACCTGGGCATTAGGATTTTGCCAAGGGCACACTGATAGCCCTCTTGGTCTCTTCTTTTGGGATTTCCACATTTGAGTGTTTTCGTAGGAAGCCTGCGGATGCAAGGATTAATAGAGAAGGTCACCGCTGGATATTCAGGGCTGCCTCCCTGGAGGCCAGCTGCCCCTCATCCTGGGGTCTAGGGAAGTGGAACCAGAAAGTGGGGGGTAGGAACAGGGCTGAGCTTGGGGTACCGAGGGCTGGTTTGTGGGTTTCCTAAGCAGATGTCCAGTGACAGGAAGGCCCAGCTAGTGTTTGGGGCGTTGGGAAAGTGGGACCCCAGAGTACTGGGAGTGAGTGGACCAGAAGGGGTGTGGATTTAGAAATTGGAAACAGACTTGGGCTCAGGGAGGTCCCTTCTCATTCATAGCCACGTCCTGTATCAGGACCGGCCTGGGTCTCCTTAATTTCAGTAAGTGACCTCACCCTCGGCGGGGAAGGGAAGGGCACCCAGGGCTGGACTGCCCAATAGATCCAGCCTTCTCTTTGTTCATTGATTTCCTGGTTTGCTGTGACTCCAGCCCAGCTGTGGATACTCCTGACTTGTGAACCAAGAAGGGAGGGGAGCCACAGCATGCCTGTGCCTGCCCTAGGAACCCGGGGATGGGGGGGAGAGGAGTGGATGATGATGATGGTGACGAAGACAATGTCCCCTCCTCACTCTAGGGGAGGAGGGATGAGACTGGGAGCAGTTATCCACAATGAGGTCAGGTCAGTGAAGCTGGTGTCAGTCTTTACGAATTCTTCACACTTCACTTCATAACAGGGGGGATGAGGAAAGGAAGGTAATAGGCATTTATATGGCACCTACTGTGTGCCAGGCACCATGCTAAGCTCTTTAAAATGTGATCTCATTCGATCGTAGATGCGATCGTGAGACCATAGATAGGAGCAGCCCTGCCCTTTTCTGGTATTGACGCTCAAAGTCAATCACACTTTTCCATCTTGGGTTGTTCTATAACCCTTCAGTCAACACACATTTATTATTAAGTGCCTACTGTGTGCTAGGAACTGGGAACTGGGGATACAAAGACCAAACAGCCCCTGCCTTCAGGTAGCTTCCATTTGGGGGGGAGCTGGGGAGGTAAAAGCATATACACACATAGTACTTTTGTGCGCACACACACACACACACAAATATGTTCAGTCAAGAAGGATTTATTAAGCACCTGCTGTATGCCAGGCTGCATGCAAGGTGCTCAGGATTCAAAGATGAAAATGCAACCGTCCCTGCCACCATAGATTAGAACTTGGAGGGACCTTGGAGAATATGGAATCTAGTTCCTCATTTTTACTGATGGGGAAATTGAGGCTCCTGACTTGTCTGGGGTCACATAACATCTGAGGTGTAAGGAGTTGACATTCAACCAGGAGAGCCCAATACATCCACCAAGAAGCGCAAATTCTCAGACTGGTTTTATTTTGCAAGGTGTCCCAGAAGTCTTGGTGCGGCTTTCCACTGCAGCACTGAAACTTTTGGGACACCTTTTATTTAAATTTTTTTTTGTATCTTAAAACCTAGTTTTGTGAGTCTTTTGTCATCATGGCTGTTTTTGGATATTGGGATCAGGTCTTAATTGCAGGATCTTTCATGTGGACCGTCTCCTTTGCTGATTGTCTTCTTTGTGAATGATTTCTGTCAGAAGTAACCTGGGATAGGTTATAGGAGCCAGCTTTGTATCTGTCATCCATGCCTCCTCTGATAGAATGGAAGCTCCTTGAGGGTGGAGCCTGTCTCACTTTGTCTTTATATCCCCTGGCATGTAATAGAGGCTTAATAAATGCTTGTTGATTAATTACTATAGAGCTGGAGAATCCATCTTCCTCTTTTTTTTTTTTTTTTTTTTTTTTTTTTTGGTGAGGCAGTTGGGGTTAGTGACTTGCCCAGGGTCACACAACTAGTAAGTGTCAAGTGTTTGAGGCTGGATTTGAACTCAGGTCCTCATGACTCCAAGGCCGGAGCTCTATCCACTGCACCACCTAGCTGCCCCTCCTCATTTTCCCAAGATCGCACAGCCAATCAGTAGCAGAGACTGGATTTGAACTCAGGTCCTCTGAACCACATGGCCAATGTTTGGGTTCTTTCTGATACACCCAGTTATTTTGTGAGGCAGCATAAAATCTTATTAACAAGTCTTGTCAAATCCCCACCTAGACAGATACTTGGAGCAAGTCACTTAACCTCTGTCTACGTCAGTTTCCTAATCTACAAAATAGGGATAATGATCCCTGAGGTAGGAAGGAGAAAGGAACAAGTATTTATTAAGAGCCTACTATGTTCCGGGTACTTTATGGGATCTCATTCGATCCTCATGACAACCTTGTGAAGTAGGTACTATTATTATCCCCATTTTACAGCTGGGGAAACTGAGGTAGACAGAGGTGAAGTGACTTGCTCAAGCTAGTAAATGTCTGAGGCTGCATTGGAATTCGGGTCATCCTGGCTCCAGGCTCTACCCTGTGTGCCATGACTCAAAAGGTGTCGTCATAAAGACCAAATGCAATGATTGGCAAGTGGTTTGCTAACCTTGTGATTCTGTCTAAATAGGATGAGGATCAAAGCAGGGCCTTGAACCCTGGGCCAGCTCTTTAGTTTTTTTTGGGGGGGGGTGAGGCAATTGGGGTTAAGTGACTTGTCCAGGGTCACACAGTTAGCAAGTGTCAAGTGTCTGAGGCCAGATTTGAACTTGGGTCCTCCTGACTCCAAGACCGGAGCTCTGTCCACTGCGCCACGTAGCTGCCCCCCAGCTCTCTATTCTTGACCCCACTTTGTCTTCCTGTTGCTACATAAATGTCAGTTAATATTTGGGGAGCAGTGAGAGCCTTGATTTACGTTGGCAGGATTTTTGGGGTGCAGCAGAGTCTTTCTGCAGTGTCTCGTTGCGCTCACCCGCCCTCTGCCTTCTCTCCTCTCCTGCAGAAGGACATGGCCCTGAAGCCCCAGGAACGGAAAGAAAAGTGGGAGCGACCAGCCAGCAAGAAGGCCCGAGAATCCGAGAACTGCCCCTCGGCGGAGCCCAGTGAGAACGGCCACGGGCCCCGGGAGCCAGGGAACGCAGAACGGGAGGCAGAGCGGGCCAGCGATCGAGCGAAGAAGAAGGTCCCCTTCCAGCTCTCCACTCAGGTAGGCAGGCGGGAGAGTGGGGGGAAGCTGTGGCTGTCACAGCTTGGTGGGGGCAGTCGTGGTGAGTCAGAGACCGGGGAGGCCAGCGGCTGGGGGAGCTACCTAAGAGCCCCAGGATGTGGGGGCAAGGCCTGGGAGAAGGGGGCGGGGCGCTGGGGCCAGCAGAGCCCAGGCAGGAGGAGGAAGAGGGAGCCGCCAGCCCCCTGGCAGTGGCGGGGGACGTGTAATCAGTAGGCACTTAATAGATGTTCATTGTACCATAATGTATTACGTTGGGATCCGTGAATGCTGACCCCCATTTCCTCCTAATGGTCCCGTGAGATGAGCCAGAGATGGTCTGCAGAGAAGCAGTGACCTGTTCTCTGCCTGCAGTTTATCATCCCTAAAAGCACTTGGGCCTCATTTCTTTCTGCCTGGCTCTGGGAGCCTGGCGTGGCCCCTGGCAACCCCCTCCCTCTGTCCCCCGGAGCCAGCCCGACTGCCTGGTCTTGGGAAGTGGGTTAAAGCTCCCGGGCCATTGGAGTCGGATTCCTGGTCACCTGTTAGGAGTGAGGGTCGGGGTGGTAGGGCACTGGCCACCAAGGGTCAGGAGTGTTGTCGACGCGGACGTTTTAGCACACAGCCTTCCTGATTGGAAAGTGAGCGCCCGGGTCCCGTCTTAGTGCTAGAGAGCCTCTTAGATCTAAAGCCGGGGGACCCCAGAGACCGCCTAGTCAACACAGATGGGGAGACTGAGGCCCGGGGAGGCGACTCGCCCAAGGTCATACAGTAAACATGAGGGGTAGATCTGAGCCCAGGTGCACGCTGCAGGGGGTTCCCCTTCCATGAATCGGGGATCCATTTGAGCTTCTGAAGGGGGAAGCGACAGAGTATGGACCTCCCTGGTCTCTGTAGAGCAGCCGCCGGGAGCAGGGGAGCCCCTTCCCCTAGCCGAGATCTGCTGCTGCAGCTCCTCTGGGGCGGGCCGGTCACCAGCCCCGCTCTCCCCACTCAGGCTTGTTTCCCCCAGTGTCCAGGCTGGCAGGGCTCTGGCTTCTGTGCCTGCTGCCCCAGGGGGCCCCGTTCTTGCCGAGCCTTTAATTCTGCTCCCAGCCTTAGGCCTGACAGGCCAGCGACTCCGTCTTTGCCTTTGGAGCAGCCCAGGAGGCCAAAGACATTCGGGGTAATGGGCCCCGTTTTAGAACAGCCTGTCTTCAGATTACAGGACCTCTGGGGGAGGGGGTGTGCCTTGGGCAGCCCTGGGGTCCTTAGCTCAGGGGCGTATGCCTGTGCCATCCCTGAGGTTCCCCTGATCTTCTCCCCACCTCCTGATTGTTCACACCTTCTGAGATTGCACCCCAGCCACTGGGGAGTCCCCATAGCCACGCCAAGTCTTTGGGGGGGATTTGTGTAGTCATCAGCACCTTTAGGTGGGTGGGGGCTGCGAAACCAGCCTTGTCACCATGCATCACTGTCTGTTGGTGCTTATGGGAGCTCAGCCCCAAAGCTGCCTTATGTCTGGCTGTTCCCTCCCCAGTGCACCTGCCGCTAGTGACCTCCAAAACCACGTGGTATGTGTGTGGGGTGGGGGTGGGGGTGGGGGTGGGTGGTAAGCTCCCTGAGGACAGGGGCTGCTTCCTTTTTCTCCTTCTATCAGCACCTTGCGTGCCTGGCACATATTTGCTTAATTAATATTTTTAGATTAATTGCTTCAAGCTCAGGGTTAGCGCTGACCCCCAGAGAGGATGGACTTAGGAGAGACCGGAGCCCAGAACTATAAACTGCTCGTCAGTTAAGGGTCTGGTAGAGAGAGGCTGCTGCAGATACATGTAGCCAAATAGATGTCCAGCTGGAAAGGAACCGTTAAATCTAATCCCGGCACTTTGCGAGGAGCCTTGTGGGGTAATAGATAGAACATCCTAGTGGAGAAGGAGGCCCCAGGTTCGAATATTGATTTCATCACCCACTGTGTGACCTTAGGAAAATCACTTCTTAGCCTAGGAGTGATAATAGCACCTACCTCCCAGGGTTGTGAGGACCCAGTGAGATATTTATATAATTGCTTTGCCAGCCTTAATATTCTATATGCATCTCACCTGCTACCATGTCATTGTTATTATTATCATTATTGTTAGTATTATTGCTGTTCTGGATGAGCAAACAGAGCCAGAGAGATACAGAATGGGATTTTGAACCCAGGGCCTCAGACGCCAAAGTTCTCTCCACTGTGTCTTAGATGACATCTTGTGGGACAGCAGGTTTCCAGAGGAATCTCATTTGGGACTGGAAAGACTCGTTTTTAATACCCTTGTCTGAGCTATAAATAGTTCCCACACGCCTTCACATAGCCATACACACGGGCGCATGCATACACACGCACCCACACGTGTGCAGGGAAACTCATGGAGTCCTGATTCAAAGGAACCAGCAGAGAGACTGGCAGTGGCCGCGTTAAGACATTCTAACGGCTGATCGACAAACATTTCTTAATTGCCTGCTGTTTGCTCGGCCCGGAACGAAATGACAAAGAGTAGAATGGTTCCTGCCTGGAAGGAGTGAACTTAATACGATGGGGACCTGAAAACAGATTCCGTACTGATTGCTGCATGAAATGTGTAACAACCGAACGGGGCCAGGTGGTTGGGAGCTGGGCCCAACAGTGGCTTCCTGCTCGAGCAGGGCCAGGGACCAGCGGTATCTCTCCTAATAGCGGGTTCTGGCAGCTACTTGAGCAGAGGAGTTACCACCGCCCTCTTGCTTCTGTAGTTGTGTATCTGTAGGTATCCCCCAGTAGACTACAGGCTACCTGAGGGCAGGCGTAATTTAATTCATTTTATCCGTATATCTCCTACTCCCGGTACAGAGTTTAGTTTGTTTTTTGGACCAGTTAGGATTCCTTCAGTGCAGGGAGTTCCCAGTTAGGAAACTCCACCATTTCAGAGTCGGGGAGCCCTAGCCATTAGAGAGAGGTTACGTGACTTGTATATGTCAGTGGCAGAATTCTATCTCAGGTCTTACTGATGCCGAGGCAAACTCTCTGTCCGTTGCACCCCTTCTCTCTATAAGGGGTAATCAAGGGAAACACAGGAGACCAGAAGGAGGGTCTTGGTTACCAAAGTAGATGCAGTTAAGTGATACAGTAGTAGAGCACTGAGCCTGGAGTCAGGAAGACCTGAGTTCAGATCCTTCTCAGACACTTCCTCGCCTCAGTTTCCTCATCTGTAAAATGGGAATGATAACAGCGCCTACCTACCAAAGTTGTTGCAAGGATCAAACGAGATCCTCTTTGTAAACTGCTTCGCAAACGTGAAAGCTCTCTGTAAATGCTAACTATCATTACTACATGCAGGACCGGGGCCACGGTGGCGAAAAGCGAAGCGCCCTGGAATCCTTAGACAACTGGGACTTACTCTTGTGTGCAGTGCCCTTCCCCCTCTGTCCCCTTTCCCACTAGAATAGCTGGTGGAAATGCAGCCTTCCTCATCAGTAGGTCCAACAGTGAGTAAGCCTATAACCAGCTATGATTACTCTTACTCCTGCTACTGATTATCCCTACTCCTGATCCTACTCCTGATTACTAGTACTAATTATTGTTACGAGTAGTGCTACTAATTATACTCCTACTAGTAGTACTACTACTTAATATTATTTATCACTACTACTGGAAGTACTACTACTGCTTATTATTACTAGTACTTATTAATAATAATACTAATTTTTTTTTTAGCAGTGCTACTAGTTGTTATTACTAGTACTGCTCCTGATTATTGCTACTACTTCCCACCACTACCACCACCTCTGCTCCTACTATCACTGCTACTAATACTACCACCACTATCCCATGACTACTACTATTACTATTACCATTACTATTACTACTACTGCTACTGTTACTGTTGTACAGTGAAGTCTGCTCTGCCCACTTGACTTGCTCAGAGGAGGTATGTAGTGTTTGTTCAACACTACATTGAATTGAATGAATCAATGCAAATGCAGCTAGGCTAGATTGACTCAAGGCTTTCCCACTCTCAATCCTACTTTAGGAAGGACAGGCTATAAGAATGGTAGCCATGATGATGGGGATACTGTGTCCTAGGAAGTTTGGTTTTACAAAGTGGTGATATTTAACCCAGAGAGAAAAGACTTAGGAGGGGCAGCTAGTTGGCGCAGTGGGTAGAGCACTGGCCTTGGATTCAGGAGGACCTGAGTTCAAATCCGGCCTCAGACACATAACACTTACTAGCTGTGTGACCCTGGGCAAGTCACTTAACCCCCACTGCCCAACAAAAGAAAAGACAAGACTTAGGGGAGACCCAATGTTTATCTTTTTATTACCAAAAGACTTGGTTTTGGGGGGACAATGGTGCAGACTCCTTATTTAAACTCTTTGGATGCCATTCAAGTTTTCTGGGAAGCACCCTTAGCATAAAGGGGGATCTCTTGGACCACTCCTCCCCCAATCTGTGTTTCATCTTCTGTTTAGCATTTCGTCCAGCTCTTTCTCTTGGCAAGACGTAGCCCACTCCACCGATGCGGGAAGGTCTAACCTAGGCAGTACCCCTTGCCCCTAAGATCTGTCTTGAGAGCCACTTTCCACCTTCTCTTCCCCCGTCCCACCAAGGTCTAGCCTGGGCAACGTCTCCTGCCTGCCGGGGTCTCTCCACTGAGGCTGGGTAGGTTCCCTTTCCCACGGTGGTCTAGCCTCTCCCCAGAGGTCTAACCTTCCTCTCCACGTGTGTTTGTGAAGAAGTCAGGTGAACCCTAGGACTCATCCTGGGAATCCGGGTCAGTTTCTTGCCAAACCCGTTCCTACAGTTTCTCCCTCTTCTCTTCCAGAAACTCTGGGCTCCCTTGACTCCGGCCTTGCCGAGGCAGGAATCCGGAGCCCTGTGTTTACTTTCTTCTCCTTCCTCTCCTAAGGCATTTGGCCCCAGTTCAGTCCCAGGGATTAAGTATGACTAGGGTAGTCCGGGTGCCTAGAATAATACCCAGGGGGTGAGGTTTCTGTTTTTCAAACCCTT